TGAGAGAATTGCTTTGCATCTGGACTCTGTGAACGGGAAGCCTTTCGTCTGGGAGGAGCTTGTATCATGCTTCCTTCGGCTTTTTTCTGATCGTACTACCGAGTACGAGGATTGTATTTCATGTAATGTTGAAGGAGAGGCATCGATCAATGCTTTTAGTAGTCTTTCTTCAGTCTTCTTTGAGCAACATACAAGGGAATCATGGAAGCTCCGATGCAAATGGTGGATGAACCGTCATTTCAGCCAAAACATCTATATGTCAGAGACCGCAAAAGGTAACTTTGCTTGTTCCTCGAACTCAGTTATTGCTGAAGTACAATCACATGGTGCTCCCATTCATTTGATCAACTTTGTCAAATAGTAATTGCCATCAAGATGACATTGGTAATAGGGCAATCACTAATCTATACTTTCAGATATTGGCATTTAAACTCGTGGTTTTCTTGGCAGTCCATGTTTTTAAAAAGGCGAGAGATATCTTTATAACGCGGACCCTGGTTGGCCCAATTTAATAGGAGTATTAGATTTTATTGGTTTCTAGAACCAGCATACCTTATTACAGCTGGATAAGGCTATGACTCGTTAAAATATTTTTTAGGTAGCAGCTAGTAATTGCCAGCCGTATGGTGCAATGCCTATACCTTGCAATTGTGCAATATAAAAAATGAGATGTCAGCTACACCAGAATAGTGTGGTCACTAAATTCTAGACACGATTTTCTGTTTCTTTTTTGCAACTCCCATTTTTATGCTCAGTGCAGCAGATGAATATGTTCCCCACTTGGCATGGTTTCAGTTCCACTGCTGTGTTTTCATCACGGATAACGAGGTTTTCGGTGTTGGTGCAGGTGATTGCAAGCTCCTCGCTTCCAAGGCATCTTGTGCCTCTCACATGCTTGGGCCCGGATTCCCATATGTCAAAGCAGCTAAGAGCTATCTTTCCAAGCAAGAGGCTAAGGATGAATCCGGATTCTTGTCCAGGAACATGGAAAATTCTGTCAAGTTATTACAAAGTTTGGAGAAACTAACGTGATGGCTCCGTTTAGTTTTATCTTTTCTTTTTGGTAGGGTTGTTTATGTTGTTGTATAATTTTGGCATGATAGTTTTAGCGTCCTTTGCGAGGTTAGATTTGTAGAGCGGGAGATCTACAGCAGTGCATCCCAATATTTTGTGTATCTGGCGATTGTGAGAAATATCAGGATCAACAGCGGTGTGTCCCAATATATAGTGTACCACTAGTATTTGGCACTTGTTAGCCACTGGTCGACAACTTCTGTTGTCCCCGGTGCCCTATTTGGGGCCAGTTCTTTTGGGCGGCTTAAAAAATAAGCTGCCTCTTCCCAGCTTAAAAAATAAGCCGCCTCCAAAATTTGTTGAGACTTCTAAATTAGCTATTTCATAATTAGTTTAGAAGGAGTGTGACATTTTGGGGACCGAGCTCCATGGAGCCTTTTATTTTGAAAATTTCAAAATTCATAAATTTCAATTTTGAAAAATTCTGGAAAAATATACACATGTATGCAAGGATGTAAAGTGTATGTGTGAAAAATTTCAGGATGAAATACCTTGAATTGCGAGCTGCACAAAAAAAACAAAATCATGGACTTTAAAGATGAACAGCACATATGCTAAAAAGCCTCAAAATTGTCTTTTTTGTGTAGCACACATTTTAATGTATTTTGACCTGAAAATCTGCACACATGTATATTATGTATCCAGGTATTTGTGCATTTATTTTCACAATTTTTTGAAATTAAAAAGTTTGAATTTTGAAGTTTTTAAATAAAGGCCTCCATGGAGCTCGGTCTTCGTTTGGCATTTTCGGTTTAGAAGCCCCAATGATTAAAAGAGGCGGCTTATGGGAAAAGCTGGGGAGGAGGCGGCTTATTTTTTAAGCTGCCAAAACAACCGGTACTTGGACAATTAGCAAACGAAGTCGATTTCACTCCCAAGCCTTAAGAGATTTTTTTTTTGTGTGTGTGTGTCAAATGTAAGAGCAGAGCAACGCAGTAGAAAATGATGGGGGTGAATGCGGAGTTGGCAGCGAAGGAGGAAAGCCTCACCCTAGCCCTACATTGGTCACCCCTTGACGATGGAGACCGGTGGTTCTGAAGCGGTATCCATCAACGCCTAACACGTCGCAGTATTCTTCTAGGGTTCAGATATTCATGAATTTATCAAGGAAAGAGATGTATCTTTTGTTAAGATAAACCGCAAAGCCAATTCTGCGAGTCACGGCTTAGCAAAGCTATGTAGGTGAAAGCACTAGTGTGGATTCGCAACTTTTCACCGGAAATTGCCCCTGCTATGATCTCTGATTGCGTCTACTGGAGTATTTGCTAGCTAATAGAAATACTCTTTCCCTGCAAAAAAACAAAACAAAGAGAAAACACGGAGGAATTTGTGCTTGACCAATTTCTTCTAGACAAGAGTGCGCGTAAACCGTTCAGATCACAATACAGGATAGTGACAGCAAAAAACAGATGCAAGACATGCATTCGTACTGATCACTGAAAGAAATTTTTACGCCCGTGTCTCAGTGGTTTCGATGGGCACTGCAGGTCAGGTAATGCAACGACAAGAGCTAACCGCTCGCCAAAGTACAGCCGGCTAATCTATGGGGTTTTTAACGTCTGCAAACAATCCGATCCGTGTCACTGATTTACTGGGACTCATACCAGCCCTGCCGATTCGCGGCCACCAGCGTGTTCTCTACTTCTCTGGTTAGTTTGCCACCGCCGCTGCGGGCGCCGCCTCCTCCTCCGCCGCCGCCATGTTGTTGGTTCCGCAGCCAGGGCATATGTAGCGCTTCTGGAGCTCCTCAGCGAGTGAATTGTGCACGTTCTCCAGCTCGGCCACGCGCTTGCGTCGAGTCAAGGAAAGCTTCCGCGAACACACACGGAGGAAGAAGCAGCAGGAACATATGTATATATAATGAATAGTTGAGCCAACGAAGTGATTTCTAGACAGGTGAAAAGGATATCCTCCGAGCTCCTGCAACTTCTTCGTCTCTTTCATCACAGCCTCCATAAGAGCTCTCTTTGCTCGGACATCAGCCAGTTCATGACGCAGCTGTAAAACAAGGCAACAGTCTTGAGAGAGCTGTTAAAACTCATGTCCATATAAATCGTAAGACAATGCGCATTCCTGCAAAAGCATCGGCATTATTTTCTTTGACTTTGAAAAAAGGATAATGCAGATAATACACACATGTCTGGCACATTAGTTCACAGCATGTAAAACTAGTAGAGTGATACCCGGAGGGTTTTATCTGTTATTCAGATATGCTGTGTCCCTCCCACAAGTTTTTTATCACCAATTTTCTTGTGAGCAATACAATCAAGAGAAAACCAAACAAGTGTATCGCATCCTTTGAATAGTTGAATAGTTAATAAATAACACAATATTGGGTGAAAGAATGGAGAGAAGAACCTTTTCAAGTTCAAGCAGGTCCTTTTGATACTCTTCCTCCAATACATGCACCTCAGCGTTCATGTTGTTCATCTGATCAACCGAATCGGTCAACATACCTTCTGAGTCCATAGTTTCATTCATGTCGCTCCCATTTTGACCTGCCAAGGTGAACATTTCAGTCCAAGAGGAAACAAGAAAGTAGCAATATAGAGCACAGTACTTTATGACAGGAGATTCATAAGAGCAAATGAGAGAAGTATCATGCAGCTCATATCCTTAGCACATTGCAGAGCACATAGTTAACAAAATGATGCAGAAAAACAAAGCCGGCAATAGCTTGCATTACAATAACAGAAATTATATCTGTAAGTATATGCACAACACAGAATGAAACACATTTCCAGCTTACACAACACCGAATGGAACACATTTCAAGATTCTTTATCTTATTAAGCAGTCACATATTTATCTTATTATGGAGGATAGAATACAAAAGCAGCTTATCAGCCATTACATTATTATGTGCAACCCTTACTCTTCTTCGCCACAACAAAGACATAGATTGATCTAGCTAGAAATAACAAGCTTTTGGGTACAGACATAATAAAGAACAGCACAGAGGTACAACTTATAATTCCGATTACCCTTCAACTTATGCAAAAGGAATCAAACAGAAATAATATGGAACTGCAAAATTATAGGAACCCTTCTTAAGGTATTCAGGAACCGAAAGTGTTATGTATGCACTGCAAGTTGGTGTGCTTACCCTCTGCTGACTTGCCTTGCTTACCATCTGCTGATGGCGGTCCAGAGCACCTCTCTGCTAATTCTGCAGAAGCCTTCTGTTGAAATTGCCTGCAGAGGAGGAATGAAGTTTATCTCGAGATAACAAGAAACTTCTAATGTAAGTTTCAGCTAGCAGGCAAAGAAAATATACCAAATGGACATAAATAAAAAAGAAACGGCAGAAAAGTGATTCTGTTAGACTATTTTGACGAATTAAACAAAACTTAGTAGTATCCCCTGACACCATCTTCATAAGATTATAGCAAAGGATCTTAATAATGCTGTCCAAAATTAAAACATGTCAAAATATCACATGATTACCCTTACTGCAGGTTAATGTGTTAAAACATATTCAATGCTCTACTTTATGCATCACTGTGATTTCGAGATCCACATATGTCCCTATTCGAGCCCTCACTGCAGTTTGAACAGACATAAGTGAAGTACAACACCAGCAACGGCCATGGTATTTTACAGTACCAAAGCAAACAAGAGATGTGGCCCAAGCCACAGCTGAATAGCTGATTGCATATCCAGGGAACGGCATGTGGTCATTGCTGGCAGACCAGAAGAATAGCACATACCTTATCCTAGCATTCATTTCATGCATCTGTCTCAAGAACTCCTCTCTGAAACAACCAACGCAGGCGGATGTGTAAATTAGTTGCTATGTACTGGAGCACAGCAGAAACAGCCTGATAGACAAAGTCCATCCCACTCACCTCTCGATGTCCTCCGTGCTCTTTGGAGCCATTACATCGAGCACCAAAAGCGCAGCCCCGCCAGTTCCAATTCCAATCACACACACAACACCAACACACAAAGCGCGTCATATTTAAGCAACAGCAGGCCAGGACCCTAACTGAACCCGCTTCGATTTTCGAGATTTCTGACCTTAAGCGCCTCCAGTTCAGAGCCCAGCTTCGCGATCTCCTCCTGGAGATGAGAGATCGTCGCCTGAACGCACCACGACCACACGTCGAACCAAATCAGGCGAACTGGCACTGAACGGAGGCACGATTCACACGTTTCGGAGCGAAGGAGATGGGGGGATACCTCGAGCGCCTGTATCGACGCGTCTGCGATGGAGGCCTGCACCTCGCTCCCGCGCAGCTCCGTCTCCGCCGCCTCCCGCGCGCGCTTCGCGGCCTCGAGCTCCGCCGTGGCCGCGTCGGACGCCGAGACCACGTCGTCGAGGCGGCGCTTCAGGCCCGACACCGTGCGCTCTGCACTCGAAGCGGAGGCAGACCTGGGTCAGCCGAGGACGCGAAACCCTACGGCGCTATAGGGGTTGGGTGCGGCGAGGCCGCGGGGAGGGGGACGCTTACCGCCGTGGGACTTCTCGGCGGCAAAGTCGCGGATGATGGATAGGAACTGCTTCTGGGGCTCGCCGCCCGCCGCCGACGCTGACGCGGCCATGGGGAGGAGAGGAGGAGAGGGCGACGATTGCGGGACGGTCTTCTGGAAGGTTCTGGAACTCGAGAGGGTTTTGAGGGGGCGGGAATGGAGCGGGCGACTGGTCGTTGTTGGACAACTGGAGTTTTTTTTTTTCGAGACAAGACAACTTTTTTTTTGAGACAAGACAACTGGGGCTTTCTATGCACCATCGTGTTTTTTCTGCCTCGCAGCCCATCACGCCCTGTAACTCGAAGCAAAATCTTATTTTTCATATTGCATTTTTTTAAGACCACTCAAAAAAATATTGCATTATTTATTTATTTTTTGATTCCTCTTTCGATTTGTGAACATCTATTTAATTTGTGAATATTTTTTGAAATCGTGAACATTTTTCAACTACATGGACATTTTTTTGAACCACAAACATTTTTTTTACAAATTCGTGAACATTTTTCAAATTCACTTACATTTTTATAAATGTGCGTCCATTTTTTAAACACATGAAATTTTTTTGAACCGGCGAGCATTTTGAAATTCAGGAACATTTTTGTTTTTGACAAGCATTTGTTTCAGTTCATGAATACTTTCTGAATCCGCAAATATTATTTGATTTTTGTGAACATTGTTTGAACTTTGGGAACAATTTTAGAAATTCCTAAACATTTTTTGAATTTGTGAACATTTTTTGAATCCATGAGCATTTATCATTTTCAATATACAAACTTTTTTCCAAAGCCACGAACATTTTAGGATTTCCCAATTTTTTTTCAAAATCATGAAAAAATTGAATTAAAGAACATTTTATGATTTTTACACTTTTTTTTCAAAATTCGCAATTTGTTTTGAAATTCAGAACTTCTTTGAAATTCTGAATTATTTTAAGAAAGGAAAAAACACAGAAGAAACAAAAATCGAAATGAAAAAAAGGTGGCCATCCCGCCTGTACATGGGCCGGCCCAAAAGGGCATGAGGGGAGCTGGGGGTGCGCTTGGTGTCTTTGCGGC